TGAAAATTAACCCTGTCCTGGCCAAACCCAGGACAGAGGGACACGTTGCAATGGCAATATTCCATTATATAAAGAGACCCAAAGCTAGACTGCAGGAAAAACAGAGGAACCAGAATTCTGTCCTTAGGTACAGTGAAAATTACACATTTCATTTTTCATAGTTCTAACTTTACCTCTTTGTGTTTCTTTTCTCAGTAATTTGTAGAGGTTTTCAACCCGAACTGTTAGATTCTACTATCCACCAGAAATCCAGAAAACTCATTTAATATGTACTGCTCACAGGCATCTTATATTAACTTTTAAATCCCATTTACCTGTAGTTGTCATCTTCTGAATCTGAAGCAGATACTTCACTGCTACCATTACTTTCCTCTGTCACACCAACAGCACTAAGTTCTGCTACGATTTTCTTTACATCTGTATCAAATACTTTCTCATACAGCAACTCATACAGCAGAGCTGGGGAAAAGTGGAAGATAAAATCAGTTACCAGGTAAACGAGATTTTACACCACCATTACAGATGCATTTCAAATTACTTCAATCAAAGCAAGCATTTTGATGTGTCAGCTGAAACAGTGAAGGCATTAGAACCAAAACTAGTGCAGCTAGTGTGACTTAATGAGCGTGCATGAAACTGCCAGGAACCAGGTCAGGCAAATTTGGCCTTAGCATTCTAACTCTGCACATAGCCAGAGACTTCATGAAGAATCAGAATCCTTGTAGGGATTGTCACAGTGACCCATCAAATCCAATTAGGACCTTCGGACATTTCTGCAATCTAGTAAAGAAAACAGTAATCCATGAAGACAGTTCTTTTTTGCATATGCAACCTCCATAATTTCTGTGACAAGTTACACATGCAAGGACAATTTTAACATGAACAATTAGTTTGCTAACATAGTCCGATATACAAAATTAAAACCAGAATGCTGACCACACACAATACAACAGATTATGAGTTAGTACACCAACATTTTCTGTTTACATTAGACCACCCAGATTCAAAGACGCAGGTAGGTCTTCTCTTCTTGGTACTTAATCTGCTTTGTCAGGAATCAGAACACAGTAAGAATACATGCTCTCGCAAAATCATAGTCATCGACAATTCAAATGGAAGACAAAGCTACTAAAGAGTGACTATAATAAGCCTTCATATAGAGCCTTTTCCTGAAACCTGATGGTGATCATTTCAATATTTTTGGTAAAAATACATGCTTTTAACCAACCAACATAATACTTACATTGGCATAGAGCAGCCTTTTCTGAATACTCTATGGGATAAACAATATCATAGTGGTTTCCATTTGAGAAGCACAGCAAAACCTATTTAAAAAAAACACACAGGTATTTTAGGGTTTGCATTTTACTTGATTTTTCGTATGAGCACTACCTTTCAAAATTCAATTTAATGTACCAATGCGCTTTGTTATCTCTCAGGATCTCAAAGTATCAATAAAATGATCAAAATGTTTAGTGGATGTCCTTTAAACCAAAAAGAATTTGACCAAAAGCCAAAAAGAATCTAGGACAGAGGTGGCTATGTCAGTTAGCACTTGTAAATTGATTTTTACAGAATTTCAGATTACTAGGAACATATACTACATCCCAAACATGGACCACCTATTTAAAAAAAGAAGTGCTATATGTATTAACAGAATAGCTGCCTTACACATGTACAAAAGAAATTGTTAAAATTGAATTCTCAGAACATTTAAATGTGTTGGATAATAAAACTCACATGGAACTATATAAAGTAGTCTTAATTCAGCCTTTCACATTTTTTTCTTTACCTTATCAGAAAAGCCATTTTCAGTTACATGTGAAGGACAAGCATTCGGTTCCCGGTATATTATGAAATCTTTCCTGAGAAAAAAGCATCAGTCAAGAATTCATTTAAAAATTAATGTCAATAAAAATTGGAATATTCAAGTCAAGTTCAAGGAACATACATAACCACAGAAAACACCTAGTGAAAAACAATACTGAAAAACATGAGTACAACTATCACTGGTCAGAAAAAGGCTTACTTTTATGAAAGAATATACTAGAATAAGATGCGCTGGCACAACATGCAGAGAGCCAGTGACAAGTAAAACAAATTTCCAGACACGGCCTTCTGGAGCTGTGTCTAGAAAGATGATGGCTCCCTAGTCCTGCAGAAATTCATTACACATTGCCATTGGGAAACCCATCAGAACAAAGAGAAGGTTGGTTTTACGAACAGAGACAGGAAGCAGTGGTAAGTTTCCAGAAGGTGAGCAACGGCCTAGGCTAAATCTGTACTAGCAGACTGACTACATGCGTGCGAGAACCCTCTTGGGCAGGGAGGCCAGCTCGCAGAACAGCCCATGTCTGTGCTCAGAAACTCTTCTTGCCTCCCAAACCAAGTTCTCGTGCTCAGAAAGGTCCACACAACATTTCTGCTCCCAAACGGTGGCACAGCTGCCACAGCGCGCTAAGGAGCATGCCAAAAGCCCAACAGACCACCAGCAGGCACTGCCTGAAGATCAGATACTGTAACCAAGTCCCCAGCATCTCTGAAAAGCAAGCCCTCCACGCCTCCGTTTTTTCACATGTAGCCAGAAGAATCTTTTCTTGCCCTTCAAAACAGGTAATACACTGCAAAAAAAAGACTTTCAGAGGGCTCAGTTTCCCCTTCTCTTCGGATACAGACTCCATGAAGTGCGGAGTCCAACACTATGTTGTGTTTGTTCGACTCAGATTGCTGGGTTTAATGTGGCAAAGAAACCCCTCTGTTGTCTCTTCAACTGCAAGCACAAACTTTTTGGAAAGCTCAGACCGAACCAGCGGACAGCGTGCTGCTGCAGTGTTGGCAGATACTCATCACCAAGGATACTGGTCCAGTATAGTTTTTCAAAACAGGTTTAGGAAATTTTTTATCACTGCAAACTAAGTTTGTGTATCTCACTAAACTTAAGAGGATTAAAAATACCACAAATGAAGAGTTGAGCTACTACAGTTGAGCAAAGTAAGAATTTACATTTCACATTTTAATTCTTTTTTTAGGTTGTTAGATCAAAAAGCACAAAAAGCTGAACCAGATACAAAGCAGCAAATACAGGAAAATCCACAACTGATACTGACGTGATATACTATTTGATTATTTTATTTTCTAAAAACTGAAAGACTATCAATCTTTGCTATTTGTTTTTCTGCTATAATCAATCTCCATCATGATCTTAAATTTAATTCTTTTCTCTCTCTCCTTTATCCATAATCCTCCCTTTGAATTCTTTGCTCAGCAACCTATCACTTCCTTCAACTTCTTCCTTGCTCACACAAGCAAATGCTTTGTTAGTCTTGCAAAATGATTAAGTATACTCACAGGTCCAGTTGTCGGATTTAAAAAAAAAAAAACAAAACACTTTCTACAACTACTCAGAAAAAGCAATTCTGAGAGGAAAAAAATTTCATAGCTCAGAGACCTAGCTGTTTCAGAGAGGCAAGGCAAATTTACTAGATAACCAAATTATACTAGTGACAGACCTGAGGGATGAAAATGAAAACAAACCTATCCATACCCCATTTCTACCCTATGCTTGGAAAGTCTGAAACCCTCTCACTTCTCCACTTGGCACAGAACAGGAAATTCATACTCCAGCTTTCCTTCAGTCTGCCAGCATGCAGGCAGAGAAGGAAATCACCATTCCTACTTTCTCAGAGCCTCTAAATTGCCTTTTTAATAGAAGCGAGTCTTCCCAAAACAAGTACGGCAGTAACAATTCTTGTGTGTTCAACTCAGCAGTGAAATACATATAGTCGCAACTACGCCACAAGCCTCCTCACACTTCCAATGGAAATTAAAGAAATAATATTATCAACCAGGGTTTGTCTCTCTATTTATCTGTGGTCCTGGATACCAACGCATCATGACTTCAGAATAAACTGCTTCTATTTCATGAGCATACGTTTCTCACGGTCAGAAACACAACAAACAGAGGATCATGACCATCCAGTTCCGACGTAATCAAGCATGCAATTTTGTTGACTTCAATTAAGTTACATCCCTCTACACCCTGGCTCAATCTGACCATCAGACCTTCTCTCTAAACCTCTTGAGCCAAATTTTACTCTTCCAGTTCAGTCCTCTTCCACCCATGAAGCACATGCAAATCTAAACTGTCCCATCAACACATAAAATGCAGACCGAATTTCATTCAATTTCCCACACTTAGCACTCATCTAAGTATCTGAAAGTAGTATTTAACTAATTTCTTTCCTCTTAACAACTGTCTCATCAAGAGTCAAAGGTAAAGAAAGTCATTAATTTACCGCACACATTTTGAAATCTTGAATTTAACTGGTTTACAAACAGCAGAAAGATAAGACGCTGCACATTGCTCATTCCCTTGCACAGTTATTAGAAAGCAGCTATAAATATTCAGCATACTGTTTCATACTACTTTGTGAAGAAAGATTAATATATAGGATTGCATTTAATAAAAACACATCAGCAAAACTGTTCATCCCCAAGAGCAGTGTTTATCTATGCCCAAATACCAAGACATTTCTTAAACACAGCTCAAGCTATGGCCCTTGACAAACTCATACTATTTCACCTACACTGACACAGTGGAAAGAGGAAAATTTATACAGAAAAAGAGAATAAGGTACAGCAGTACACCAGGTAGTCCTGTATCAGTACATACCACTTCATACCAGGCAAGGTGGGAGAACGGCCTTCTAGCATACAGCGTGCAATACTCATATCACTAAGCGACACTAGAGCACTTGTACAGAGATAAAAGAGAAATGGGTACAGCCCACAGCTTAGCAACAGGGTTAGTATTAAAGCCTTGGTGAGAAACAGGAAGAAAAGCAATTAGAAAAATTAAGATATGAAAACTAACAAAATACAAACTGTACAACTCTACCCACAATTAGTTGTGCAGGTGTGATGCATGACAATATTGAAAACCTATATTCAAATCCCAGATTAAATGTAATTTTCAAAGCTTGCTTTTCTATTTGTATTTAATACCTCAACACCTGCAACTTTCAAAGCTTATTTGTAATTCTCTGGAGAACTATGGTATAACACACAATTGCATCTTTGCTATTCCAATGGATTCACTAAAAAAACAACTGAACTTATCTCAATAAAACATATTTAAAGATTTTCTTACTTGTACATAAGAGAAAGGGCACTTATTTCTACTTGTCCAACCCATTCCTGTATTGAAAATACAAAAGAAAATTAAGTTCTAACAAACACATAATTATTACACTTCCTCACATGTAGATCGAGAGAAGCAAGAAATCATTGTCGAAAATAAATACATCAACACTGAGTCCGCAGTTCAGCTGAAACTTTGATTACATTTGAAGTTTTTTTTGAACTAACAATAACTATTCCAGTAAGGTGGCTAAGGGGTACAAGCTAGGAGGATTTTTTTCCCAAAATTAGAAATAGATCTGTATGAAAACTGAGAGAACTAAAAACAATCACATAAATGCAGATCTATCATTAAAGAGTATGATTTTGATAGGTGAGATAGTGTGGGGTTGTTTTTTTTTTTCTTTTGTTAAACTTCAGCAACCAGCAGTCTAGCTTTTCAAAAGCGATTTTTGAAAAAAATGACAGATTTACCAAGTGCTTTTAAAAATGTTACTCTCTACCTTCAAAACTGCCTGGTTTTGTGGGTCTTTGGCTATAGATAAAGTGGAAGAAGAACCTTGAGGCTTAACTCTCTTGCCTAAAACACAGATAACTTCCATATAAATATCCTGACAGTCTTGTCAACTGCTCCAACACAAAGCAGGCAGCCCACTTCCACACAGCCAAAATAAACTTGTGATACTTGTATTTCTCATGCAAGCAGCTGTGTATCGATACCTGAAGAAAGACCAAAAATATGCCCTTTAAACAGCAAAATGTAAGTAAACCCATAACCCAGACTGAAATCATAGAAAAGTGAAAGTTGGTGCTTCCATTACCAGCCTAACTGCTGTACTGTGCTCCAGTATCATGTGACCTGGGTTTTTTGGGGTCTTTTTTTTTTTTTTTCTTTTCCAAAGTGGGGGGTTTTTTTTTTTTTACTTTTCAAGGTAGGGGAGGTACTGTTCTTTTGGTTTTTGGTTTTTTTTTTTCCTACGTTTTTTAAAAAATTCGTACTAAATTAAAAACAATTCTAAGTTTGGGCAGGAATTTGTAGTAGTCTGATATTAATATTTTTTTAAAGTCTCCTGACAATTTTGAAATATAGAATGTAATAAGCTACTGTACTATTTTTCAAAAATATTTTTTTAAACACTAGCAGACATGTATGAAAGACATTTTCTGTACACACCGTGCAGTGCTATAAACTATCTACATTGGTGTAATTCAGTGCAGCATAAGTTCTACTGGAAAATGGCATGATTTACCATTTATCATAGCATATAACCTTGGGATTTGACTAACAAAGCTTTGAAATTAAAAATCCCGGAATAAACAAAGCAAGACCGAAGCAGAATAGGCCAATACCCACTTTTTTCCCCCCCTTCCACCATTCATTTTGGAAACTGAAATAAAGAACCATCTGGGTTAGCCATTCTAACTACGGATGCTGTAGGCATTGGGGGAGGGGGGAATAATCATGCTTTATTGAATTTTCTCCTCATAGAAATTAAAAGTTTATGCACAAATGCTTAAAAAAAAATGTAACATATTTTGCAATGTTGCACTAGATAGTCCTCTCCCCCCACCCCCATCTTACACAAATTGCTAACTCCCTCATAAAAGTACTAAAATTAAGTTGAGGGGGAGGAACAATAATTTCACTTCAAATCAGTATCTTTGTAAGAGCCTGCGGTTACTGTTCGTAATCCCTTACATCAGTAACTGTCTTTTCATAACCTAAACTTTTCAGCCTTTATTCAAGGCTGTCTTCAAGAAAAAGCTAGCCACACTATGTTTGTTGGCATTTGCAGAAGCTAGAAATGTTTGGATACAACTTTGAAGAACAACAGCTTTAAATCAAGACACAAAAAAACCTCTTGAAATCATTCCACAATACACGCATAAAAGTATATATTCACATAATTCAAAGACCTCTTAAGCTCAAAAACATTTGTGAGGAAAAAATATCCAATTACCCACCAATTTCAACAAAAGTACTGCTTTCTATTATAAATCAAGTTTAACATACCTGTGGATTTTCCAAACATTTTAAATACTCTTCAAATGGCCCCTCTATGAACTGTATTTAGAAAAAAAAACAACGTAATAATCAGTTATTTTTGTTAGTGTCGCACATGGAATCCCCAGTCTATAACCCACTGTACCAATGGGAAGGTACCATTGGAAATTTAAGATTATCCTGCCCTCAAAGAGCTTACAATCTAAGTATAAAGTGATGCAGAGATGAGGGAATAAGTGGTCAAACACATAGGTCTGCATTCCAGAAAATAACCACATAACCAGCTTTTGGAGTCATCACACAATCCAAAACAATACAAACAAGAAAAACCCCAAAAGAAATCTAGGAGCCAAATGAGAAATCTGAAAGAAAGCAAAGATACTGTCAAGTAGATGTTTATGGGCATTTCATCCCAGGCATGCATGGCATCACTGGAGAGAGCATGTATGGGCTTATTCAAGTACCTTGTTAAAAGAAATGGAAGACACATTTCTTTAGTACCCATAGATAGACAAATCATACAGCACTTTCTCCTCTTTTCTGTATCACTTCTAACAAACTGTTTTTACTTCCAGTGAAAGGATGCAAACAATTGGGCGACACATAAGTGCCAGGCTGCCAGTGCCTCCTTAACATGCACGAAGAGGCCAAATTCACATTTGTCAAGGACCGAGAAAGATGCTGCAGTAATTGAGACACATTGACTTCAAAGGGGTACAGTCATGCTGACCAACAGAGAGGCTGCATTTAAAAGATGCTATTTAGACAGAACCTGCTTGATTTAGTTAAAGATCCACAGAGGTCCAAATGAAGAATTCCCATTATGAACTTAAGCCACAAGCAGGATGGCCTCTTTACCCACAGCGATTAAGAAACAAGCTCGTAAGGAAAATTGAGCAGAGTACCGAACCATAGAATCATTTAGGTTGGAATACATCTTTAAGACCATCAAGTCCAACTGTAAACCTCACACTGCCAGGTCCACCACTAAACCATGTCCCTAAGTGCCACATCTACATAACCTTTAAATACCTGCAGGGAGGGTGACTCCACCACCTCCCTGGGCAGCTGGTTCCAATGCTTGATAACCCTCCCTGTGAAGAAACTTTTCCTAATGTCCAATCTAAACATCCCCTGGCACAACTTGATGCCATTTCCTCTCGTCCTATCACTTGTTACTTGGCACAACAGATTAACCCCCACCTCACTACAACCTCCTTTCAGGCAGTTGCAGAGGGCAGTAAGGTCCCCCCCTCAGCCTCCTCCAGGCTACGCAACCCCAGTTCCCTCAGCTGTTCCTCGTAAAACTTGTTCTCTAGACCCTTCACCAGTGTCGTTGCCCTTCTCTGGACACAATGCAACACCTCAATGTCTTTCTTGTAGTGAGGGACCCAAAACTGAACACAGTACTCAGGGTGCAGCCTCACCAGTGCCGAGTACAGAGACACGATCACCTCCCTACTCCTGCTGGCCACACTATTCCTGATACAAGCCAGGATGCCGTTGGCCGCCTTGGCCACCTGGGCACACCGCTGGCTCATGTTCAGCCAGCTGTCAACCAACACCCCAAGGTCCTTTTCTGCTGGGCAGCTTTCCAGCCACTCCTCCCCAAGCCTGTAGCGTTACATGGGGTTGTTGTGACCCAAGTCCAGGACCCAGCATTTGGCCTTGTTGAACCTCATACAGTTGGCCTCAGCCCATCAATCCAGCCTGTCCAGACCCCTCTGCAGAGCCTTCCTACCCTCAAGCAGATCGACACTCCCACCCAGCTTGGTGTCATCTGCAAATTTACTGAGGGAGCACTCAATCCCCTCATCCAGATCACTGATAAAGATTTTAAACAGAACTGGCCCCAAAACTGAGCCCTGGGGAACACCACTTGTGACTGGCCACCAACTGGATTTAACTCATTCACCACAATTCCGTGGGCTCAGCCACCCAGACAATTTTTTACCCAACGAAGAATAGACCCATCCAAGCCATGAGTAGCCAGTTTCTCCAGGAGAATTTTTTGGGAAACAGTGTCAAAGGCTTTACTAAAGTCCAGGTAGACAACAGCCACAGCCTTTCCCTCATCCACTAAGCAGGTTACCTTGTCACAGAAGCAGATTAAGTTAGTCAAGCAGGACCTGACTAGTGAGATTAACAGTTCTGCTTTAGCCATGTTGAACCTGGCTGGACAGTGCTGTTCATGAGAAGAATCTAAAAGTCTGGCCAAAATTTTTAATCTAGACAGAAGCAATCAGGTATGAAGTTAAAAGGTGGATCAGTAAAACATGATCATAGACAGCAGTTGTTTTGTGTGATGAAATTAAATGACCTAATGCACAGAGAAAGAAAGCAAGGGCATCTCACAGAAAACCGAAGAGATAAAAAAAGAGAATGAAGACAAGACTGCAGCAGAGACAACACTTCAAGAAAGGATAAGTATGAATATGAAAATGAAGATGGTGTTTACACACAGTCACCTGAAACATTGGTTATAGCAGTATCAATGGAACGAAAGAGACAGAAATCCAAGCTGAAATGGTTACAATAGAGGAACTTCAATGACTACCACCAGTACATGTCAACAGAGCCTAACTATTAAGAAGGCAGATGAGTAAACAGCTGAACTAAGAGACTACGGAAAGAGACATTTGTTGATTGTGCTGTTTTGGGTTTTTGTAAGAGACATAAGTTAACAGTGCTATATTCCAGATGGAAAACACAAAGTATAGTAAGAGATACAGGGAGCAAAGGAGATCAGCAGAGCTGAAGTGAAGTACCTGAGGGAGAAAGAACCCTAGGAAATGAGAAGAGATACGAAACACCTCAACCTTGTACATGAAACACCTATTCTGAAAAATGACAAGAAACTTTTATAAGAGACCTTTCAGAAAGATAGCAAAGATGGATAGAGGAGAGGTCATACCACTTGGATTAAGCATAAGAAAATAAATAGAACAGTGAGACTGGGAGTTTGGAGGAGAGAGACCAAGACAGTAAAACTAGCTAGGGCTGACAAAGCAGCTACCGAGCTGAAAAGATGCCAGAAACTGGGGAGGGGAAACGACATACATTTAGAGGCAAAAAGGGTCATGGTGTTTCCAAAAACTACACAACGCAACAAGAAAACAGAAGTAGAGAAGCAGATATTCAAGTGAGTAGGGCAATTCTGGAAAGAAAATTATTAAAAAGTCAGCAGTGAAAAAATAAAAAAAGAAAGGAGAGAGCTCTAAGAGTTGGTAAGTCCTCAGATGGACTGGAAACAAACAAACAAACAGTCCTGGAAAACGGAAACAGTCAAGTCAGAGCTGCATTCTCCCAGGGAGAGTCACTGTATTTTATGTCATTCATTCTTGACAACTTCCACATTACAAGTGACCAGTCACATTTCAGCATAGGGCACTTTGTCAGAAATTACAGCAAACACATACACTCTTATTCCCACTTTCCTCCTCTTCCCTATGCCCATGTGCATCTAAAAACAGCCTTTTTATTTTGGGTCCAGGTACATTTAGAACAGAGAGATAGACGAGTAATAATCCTCTAGTAACAAATGCTTACACATACTCCTGTTTGGCTGTCCTGGAAATCAGCTAAATGGTATATACACTAGAACACATACAAGTGCAACAGAAGCGCCATTATTTATTATTGTTCTTCTAAAATAAAGAAAAGAAGGATTCTCTAATGTTAACACTGATGGCATTGGCCACATATAGATCAATGTCACAATATTTTATGTCCACAGTTGATGAAGACCTTCATTACAAATGTTTAGAAAAAAAACCTACCATGTCAATGCATAATAAATTGTAGACCCTGAAACAAATTTCACTAATCTCATCAGTCAATTCCCTTCTATATTGCAAAATCAATTAAATAGCACAATAACAACACTTCATTAAAATAAGCGTGATACTAAAATAAAATCCTGCTTTCGGTAGCTCCACTACAGACTATTAAAGCTTCAGAATGCTTGTTTTTTAATGAGCAATAATATCTCTTCCCATCCCACTTCCCTCCAGTCTAAGCAGTACACAGGTCTTTCTCCAGGCTTATGAAAATGAGTTACTACCACACGTGCCAATTAACATAAAGAGCACTCACTTTAAAAAGCATCAACGAGTATACAGCTATGATGAATACTGTCACAAACAGTATAATATACCTTAGAAAAGCAGAAGGAATAAAGCAACATTTTTAAAATGCTCATAAAAAAACCAAAAATACTTACTGCTTCAAACTTCTCCCTGTTTTTCCGAAGATAGTCTACACAAGCCATCCTAACATCAATATGCCGAGACTGAGAGTATAACACCTACAAAGAGAGAAAGAGAAGCATGTGACACCAGTTCTTAGGAGTTTTGATGACAGCTCACAAATAATTAATGACTGTTGTCTAAATAAAATCTTGGAAAAACTCTAGTTTTATTTTTAAGAATATTTAAAAATGCATATTCACTCAGTAACAACATCTTTATGCAGGTGAAACCTCAATTACTTAAATCGAAAATTAAGTAACTGTAGAATTCACAGATTAACTAAATTCAAACATTCAATTTTATGAGGATTTACTGAGCAAAATGAATAGCATTTGTTGTCACTCTTTAACTGACTCCTTTGTAAAGGACTTCAGTTAACTGAAGAAGTAAATCACTGCAGGAGCGGATGAGGAAATCAGCTACCAACAAGCACTCGTTCAAATGAAATCCAGCCAAATCTAAGAGAGAGCAGATTTACTTTCTCTCGACTTTAAGAGGTGTACATCTGTTGCCCAAATACTGATGTGGAAGCCATGAATTCAGATCCCAATATGACACCTGCGTTCTACTGCCTGTTCAAATCTCTATTGGACAAATACGACTTTCATCATAGGTTCAGAGTTATCTCTAATGTGACTTTGCCTCCCTCCTCACTGCAACGTAGGGAAGTTCCAGTAAACTTAACTTGCAGTCTCTCTTGCAATCCTTACACACTACCCTCAACTTCAAACTTTTCCAAATTCAGATCAGTTCAGTCTTTCTGCACAAGGAGTACAGAAATTAGGCCAAATTTGAAAAAAAGGTGAACTGTGTATAATGAGCACAGGAATCTGGGCTCCCACAATGAGAAGCACCAGAGCTCCCACTGCTGTTTGTTTGTATTCAAGACAAGATGACGCTGTCACTTTTTTCCTTTAACAGTAACACTGAAATGGGGGAGGGGAATTCAACAGGAAGAACTGAAATTACTCACTTTCTCTGATTTTATAGTAAACTAATTAACAAAACTAAGAACAAGGTTTTTCAACTCTTCCCACGAAATTTCGCTTCCTAAGTAGTCTCATGCGAAGGGGTTGTACCCAAATGTTGAAAGCTTACACTGAAAAAAGCTCTGAGCAGGCAGTGGCAGGTCAAAACAGGTAACAGTTTCTTGATGACAGAAGGCGGCTGTACACACAGCACTCCTCTCGCCCCACAAGACAGAACTTCCCATCCCCACCCCTGGGACACGACTGCGCACCCTTAACCGACGCTTGTCTGCACCGTAACACAAATCATCACCCACTCGAGAGCCACTGCCCACGCCTCCGCGCCAAGTAGCTTCGCTTATGTCGGCGGTTACCTGCTCGGCCACAGCCCTGAAGAGACAGGACCCATCCTTGGCGACTCTCTTTCGGTACAAGCCCTGGGATCGCAGGTAGCAGTCCATCGCGGCGTCCCCGCCGCCGCCCTGAGGACTC